ACCGCGACACGTCGCGACTCTTGCCACATTCGACCAATTTTTTCCCAAACTACCGCGCTTCTTCTTCTTCTTCTTCTTCTTCTTCTTCTTCTACTTCTGCTTCTTCCTGGTCGCGGCACGTGCGAGGAAAATCTACCGGAGCTTCCGACCACTCGCGATTCAACGCGTCGAAGGAAACGTCGAGTGTCGGTTACGAGTCTCGCGCTTTGAAAGCGATAACGCAGGTACATGCTACGCGCGGGCAAATTTGCGGACGATACGTTGCATTTTCGTCTTTATTTGGCTGTTGAATAACCAGAGTATACGAACGAAACGAGTAGGATGGAATCGTATTAAACGATCCGATCTGTCAGTTTGGTCGGGCGCCGTTACGGTCCACTGTTAGAGGGAAATCGAAAGGACAGATTCGAGGGTGGAAGGACAAAGTGATAGAGCTCTAAGCGTGTCCACGTAGCGAACGAACCGTGGAACACCGAGTGGCTTGCTCGTCGTTCCAGAAAGTAATCGAATTTCAGCCACCGTGTTATACCGTTCGAACCCTCCGAGGGTTCGCCCGATTTCATAGAAGGAACCAAAGACTCCGAGAGACTCTGCGTTCGGATCTCGCGCACCAAAACTGATTTCGCGTTTCCATCGGATTCCTCTCGAAAATCGGCTCCGTGTCTGACGGAGAGAGTCTGCGGTGAGATCGGTTAGAAGGCTGCTGGCTCGACAAATTCGCTTAGCCGCAAAGTTTATCGTCGAAGAGACCCGGTGTTTACGAGTCGACCAGCGGATACTGTAATACGAGTAGTCGACCTTTCAGGGATCCGGTCGAAGAATGAAATTCAGAGATATAACGGGAGAAGCGGAGAGCAAAGCACGAAGTCGAGATATCCAATAGGCAAGGGTAACAAGGAGCTCGGATTTCGCGCAGGTCGAAGGAAACCAACTTAGCTGCCTTCATTGCGCGGACACGGTCCACCGGGGATGCGTATTCTTGACAAGTTCCATTAAACGCCCAAAGTTCTCATCGCAGCGAGGAAACTCCCGGGCGATCGCGGTATCAAAACTTGCCGCGGAAGTACTCGGCCACGAAACCCACCGCGGACATCCCGTAAAAATCGTACAACGATACGTCCAAGACGGGAATTTTTATTAATCCATCGAGATTTCGTTCCAGGACCACGAGGGAACAACTTGGCATTGCCCATTTTTTATAACAGAGTAGATTTACGATTCGAAATTCAGGTTTTCTTCGCTCGCGACGATATCAATGTAACGAAGGTCGCTGGAATATCGAAGACATCGTCGTTCGTTTTAACGTTTACCAGCTTTGACTGGACTGTCGTCGACAGGTTCTTCCCGTCTCTTGCCGCTTTATATCGAAATATCGCTTTCTAGTCGTAAAGTCGCGAAACCGACATAGATTTTCAACGCGGATAAAGGTTAAAAAATTCGACGATATCGGTTGCTCGGGTTTTTCAAAACGGTAACGGACGTTCGTGACGAGAATCTATCGGTGGGAAGAGAGACGCGGTCTTCTTAGCGATCGGTGTCGAGAAGAAACACAGCGCGCATCGAAAAACGCCACCAAGACCCTTCATCTAGAAATCGGCTCACGTAGAGTAAACAGGCCCTGCTGAGTTTGCCGGCCAATTTCGAAGAGGAGTCTATATATGCCCACCGTTTGCCTCCTTCCTTCCTGTCTAGAGAGCGCGTCGAAATGATCCCCTTTTAATGCCGCAGCACTAACTACCGGCACCTCGAACGATCCCGCAATTCGGAAGATTGGCCCACATTACGAAATTATCGTTATTCCCGACGAAAGAGGGATGAAGGGGTGCAGAAACGGACCCATCGAAAACCCTGCGGCGCCAGCTTCTTTCCGCATAAATATGGAAAACGTTCCGGATAGCTCACCACGACCATCTCCGAGAAACCTTCCTAAAAAGCCCTCGTTCCTATCGCTCGAATAAATTTCTGCCGCGGTTATAGATCACGATACGTCCGTACTTGGCATACTCGAATCGTTTAAAAGCGATCCCAAGGATCTTCGTGGTTTGAATCGTCGATCGTAAAGGATTAAAACAGGGACGCGCTGTTATCGTTATAAAATATCGTTACCATCGGATATTTTCCCGTTTGGTCGATCGAGCGGAAAATTTGGGACGCAGTCTTCGAGTTCCAGCTCCGCCGAGTTGAGTCGAACGAATATCCGACAGGATATAGATCGATCGAGTTCTCGGTAAATATCGCTGCGCCAAGCCACCTACGAGAATACCGATCAAGTCGCGTACGTTCGAGGGTTCTACATAGTCTTGGCTAACACGGGGCAAGTTCTCTCGCAGCAGGTTGATTCCCCGCATCTTCGATGGAACCGAGCGTGCATATAGGTGCATATCGATTTGCGCGAATCGCTAAACCCACCGAAAGACCAGACCAATCTGCGCGATGCGTGGTAAAGCGTCGATTCTCGTATCGTACACACGGTAAAATCTCATTCCGTCGTTACGAAAGGGTAATCGCGTTTCTAAAATTTCTTTCCGATGATTCGAACAGATTCCGATCGACCAACAGCTGCCCAAGTAACGCCGTTTAGGCGCGTCGAAGCAACGTCGAGAAATAACGTTTCCGGATAAACGACATTCCATTAGTTGCCGTCGCTTCAACGTTAATTAACTTATTTACAAGCAAACGATCGACGGTGGTCGTATCGAGGAATCTATCGGTCGACCTCTAGTCGCCGTTTCGAAAAGAAGAAAAAAGTAGACAACGTATCTCGGAGTTCTCCGAGGAAGCTAGTAATTATGTCGTCCATAAAACGATTTCAAACACCAGTGCGTTGTAACGTCGGAGACTTTCTATCGCAATCGTTCCCGATAGGGAGAGGGGTAGGTCTGGCGGCAGGCGTACAACTTAATCGATGCATCTAGCTAAGTATACAGAAGGAAGTAGCAATCGCATTCGCGTATCGTGTCCCGAGGTGTCGTCCTAGACTATCATCTAGCTTTATGATCCTTAGATAGAGCAAAGTACAGTTTGTACAGGATGATTCAATCGACGTATCGAAAAATATCGAACAACAAAATGACTATTGATCGTTTTTAAATCTCTGTTTTTAGCAATTTAACTCTACTACGATAATTTCGATAGCGGTTCGATCAGTTCGTGCCGTTCATTTTCTCGTCGTTTAAACCTTGACGGTGACAGCTTTGATTCCATTCCTGTTCTTTTAGAAAACATCAATGGACAGGCGATGTTGGAATATTCGAGATTTTAAGCGTCTCGACGATCGATAAACTTTGCTCTTAGAATTCGTGCACACCCATCAATTTTGCCAAAGAAAGCGAGAAATAACAAAAGTTTCGAGCAACTCCAATTCCAGTACAAGAAGATGATGCAAAATTCTATCGATCGCAAAACTAAATCGGGACTCGACTTTTCGCACGCGTTACCAACTTTCCTCGAGTGTACTCTGCGACGATACGCGTCTTTGGATCAACCTGTATAGAAAGGAAGAGAAGAGAAGAGAAGAGAAGAGAAGAGAAGAGAAGAGAAGAGGAGAAAAGAGGAGAAAAGAGAAGAGAAGAGAAGGGAAGAACAGAGGGTTACCTTGTTCCGCGTGGGTCCCTCGCGGGCAGATCAGCAACAGCAGCAACGGCAGAAGGTGGGCAGCGGAAGCAGCAGCGGCGGCGCAGGTGGCTAGAAGGCCTGCTACGCCCGC